TTTCTCTTTCGACATTTTTATTTTCGACTTATCGTACGGATCCCGGACAAAGTGGCTAATTACGACGACAAAAATATGGGTCTGGTACGATACGTCGAAATTTAAATTGTCGAAACTAAAAACNAAAAAAAATTGTTAGAAAATCAAGAATGTCGAGAAAAAAATTGTCGAAAGGAAAAATGTCGAAAATAAAAAATGTCGAAAATAAAAAAGTCGAAAAAAAAAATATATCGAAATAATGTAATGAATGATGTGTAAAATTCGCGCGAATTAATTATTTCGATATTTTTTATTTCGACATTTTTATTTTCGACATTTTTCGTTTTCGAAATTTTTCTTTTCGACAATTTGTTTTTCGACATTCTTGATTTTCTAACTATTTTTTTTTCGACATTTTTTTCGGTGTTTTTAGTTTCGATAATTTAAATTTCGACATATCGTACCAGACCCACTTTGTCCTTATGTGCGCCGCTAGAATGCTTTCTAATACTTGCGATTTGGCTTGATTGTCCAAGATCGTGGAACTCAACCAGTTTAAATGTTTTCAAAAATGAGATTAAAGTAATTTAAATATGCAAAGCCCCACTTGGAGTTGCCGATTTAGTGTAAAATGTAATTATGAGTGCGATGCATTAAATTAATTAAAAATTATAATTGATACCGACAGTTAAAAAATTTAAACATTGTTATGAAGTGACAAAACAATCAACCAAAAAACGTTCCCCCAACCAGTAGTCGGGGTTAAATGAACGAAATATTATATACAATTCAAAGATAAAAAGTTCAAGGCGATCGCCCTCATATATTATTTGACGAAGATGTTCTGAATGACGCACAAAACATTGCTTTTTTATACGAAAAGTGTTATTTACGTGTTTTGCAAATGCAAACAAGAATTTGTTTTTAGAAAGCCCCACAAGCAAAAGTACAATGAAAACGTGAATATCGATTAAAATATATGATTTGGAATCCGATGCTTGTGTGAAAGACGAAAGTATTATAGATGTTATAAAAAGCGATAAACTGGCGTTTCAAACAGCTAAGAACTGGATTTATTTGCGCTTAAAGGCACAACAGTTGACAAAGTATTAAAAATAAAATTAATTATAAACACGAAATTTTGCCAATGCCAATTCAAATGGCTAGCATGCGACTATGCAGCTTAGAATCTCAAAAGAGTGCCCAGACATTATAAAAAAACATATCTACATATACATAGTTGCATGTGTACCAACGAGGTATGCAGTCGGCGATTAGCGCAAGTATCTCAGCAGGTTCTTCGCCGCGCCGACACGTCGACCACGTCTCGCAGTGCCAAGNGTTGCATGTGTACCAACCAGGTATGCAATCGGCGATTAGCGCAAGTATCTTAGCAGGTTCTTCGCCGCGCCGACACGTCGACCACGTCTCGCAGTGCCAAGAGTGCTTAAAGATCGCCATAAAGTGTAAGCTGCACTGCGAGGGTTTGTCTGCTGTCAATGACATTATTCTTGGCAACTTGTTAGCGTTGTTTAACTTCACTTAATTATTTGCCAAAATTTAGCTAACCAAATAAAGTCAAATCGCAAACACATACATATTTATGTACGTGCACACATGTACGTAGAAACTAACGACATGGCAAGCAACTTACTTACTACATTGTGGCGAGAGAACAAAGTGTCTTACTAAGTTAACTTTGCTTGCAGCAAACACACGATTGGCCAATGCCCGTTTTTGGCGTGTTAGCGTGACATTATCATAGAAGTCATCAACTACGTGGCACATCATTGGCTTCTATGAATATGAATTTGTATGGGTAAGTACTAGAGTGGACGATCAATATTTTTGAAATTAAATGAAGACTTTTAATACACAATTCTACAAAGTAAAATGCTATGCAAACTTGGAGCACATTTATCTTAAAGTATCGTTACTTATCTTCAAAACGTAGTATAAGGTATTCGCAAACGATTCTATGCAATACACCATGCGACAGCAAAAACAAAATCAAATCACACGAAGCGATCAAAATACTCACGGAACTGTGGGCCAAATTTAATAAACCTGCATTTTTCGTTTTTCACACCGACTTCAGAATTTTTTTTAAAGGGACTTTGAAATTTTAATGATATGATTGAACCAAAAAATTATTTTAAAAATCAGTGCAATGTAAAATAAGAATATGGGCACTAAATAAAAGAGAGAATTCTTAAGCATTTAAAAATATTACTATTTTTTGGTTTACAATAACGAATAGGTATTGAAAATGCGTTTTTAATTAATTCTTTTTTTAAGCTAATAAAGTTAGGAGGACGAAACTCGTGTGTATATTAGACCTTAACAAAAAAAAATTGCAAAATTTCCATGTTATTCAAGCACAAAACAGTAAAAGAACATTTTCCATACCCTTTTGCAAAGAAAAATTAAATAATTTTTAATTCTATTAATTCTACGGAATTTTTTTGATACCCACATTGTTATTCTGCATACATTGCACTGAATTTTCTAAATAATTTTTTGAATTGAATTTTAAAGTGCAGTTTTACGATATTTTTCCAATAGTTTGGCAAATATATTTACTTATTTATTTTATTGTGTATAAAATTCACTGTCGCATAGAGATATCAAACAACCAAAAACAAAAAACTTATAGAGGGGAAAACCTGCCAAAATTGCTACTGTTTACTCCAATATTTCCATATGTATAATTATGTAATCACACAGTAGATACCCTCTAGTATGGTCGGTAGCAATTAGTCCGTTTTAATTGGTAATGGTGAAAGGTTGGTAATATGGTAGACGTGTTGAATTCACTAGTTCTTCACTGGGGCGTCGTCTTAGTATCACCATGAATCCAACATAAACAAATATAAAGCATTCGTCCGCCATTTAAAATTTTAAAAATTTATTATTTATTTTCATAAACAGCGACCCCAAAGGTGAATGGATTTAAAGAAATCTACCCATCATTTTGAATAACAAAAATTTCTGATTTATTTTCGCAATCAGCAAATTTCTAGTAAATCCAATCATGTTACCAAACATTGTTCTTCTATTGTTTTAAAAAAATCATTTTTTACCCTATTTTGAAGCATTTTAGCAATTTCTTCTACTTAAAATACTTTTGGAGAAAGGGGGCTTCACTTGGCGAAGAATAACTCTTATATTGTTTTACTTTTCCATATTTCCCCTTAAATTACTTTGCAACAAAAGCTTCATAGACTTCTTTTTTTTACTTTCCGAGTGACCCGTCCTAATGAATTCCTTTATTTCTTGCTATTGAATTGATACTTATTTCCTCTTTTAGCTTTACCGATTTTTTGGCTACAAATATTTACTTATTAGTAAACAAAAATTGCTGAAGTCTTTCCTGCCGGCTGTAGTTCTAACATTTTCTGTTGATATTTGCTATTCGTTTAAGCAGAATTTTCCAACAGGTTTTTTCAATTACAAATTTTGCACATTTATTTTAAATAATAATATTCTGGCAATGTTATTTATTTTCCGACAATATTACTATTTTTCATTGAATGTGCTCATACGGCTGCGATTTGGCAATTCTAGCACATGCTGGGTCGTTGCGCTCGAAGCCAAGTTTTACATTTAGTTATTAGCTTTTCTTAGTAACTTTTCCAGTTTCCATCGCAAGTTTTTGTACACACTGCTTTATTTGTGAATGCAGACGAGAACAAAAATAATTTCGTTAAAAATGTTTTAGCACTAACACTTATACATACATATATGTATATGTATGTTTGTAAATTTTTGTGTATATTTGCATAGTTAAATTTTTGTTTCAAATTTTTTTTGCGGTTAAGTTATTACGTAATGTGGCACTTACGATTTGCAGTTCAGTCATATACTTCTTCCACCACAGATATTTGGCATATTCTGGCCCCATGGCCGACATCATATAGTAGAAATACATGCAAACATGCACGAAGTTGTTGAGCAGATTGGGGAATGTCGCATTGCCACCTGCGAAAATATCGAAAAATTTTTAAGAAATATTAGCGAATCTATTTAAAAGAATATTAAGAAGGCTACCGCATAAGCAATGCTAAATTATTGGAATGAAAAAACAACTATGTCACTATTTTTTGTAGCTCAAAGCGCTCGAAGTTTGCCATTTATTTTATATGGGGAAAAACAACTTTTCGTAGAAATGGAATAGAATACTTGAAAATAAGTATTTTTCGATCGTAAAACTGTGTTGCTCTTCAGGAGATTCCCAGTAGTAATACCCAATTATTTATTTAAACATTTTTTATAGAAACTCTATTTTATAGGTCCGTCAAAACCCAAGGTAGGTGCCAGATGATGCAATGGGGGAATGAATAAAAAACCTTTAGTACTAAAACATGGTTAAATAATCAATAGGGTATTATTATTGGAAGTCACCTGAAGAGGACCAAAGTTTTCCGATCGAAAACATATTGATTTTCAAAAATACTCTACCTATATTATTTTTACGAAAAATTGTTTTTCCCCATATAAAATACATGAAAAACTTGGAGCGCTTTGAGCGATCTCTAAACATTTTTTGATTTCAAAATAAAATATATATATATAAATTTTTCGATATATATATAACAGTTTTTTCTGATATATAACAATTATAAATCATTAAAATTCCGACTTTACTTGTTTTGGACCACCCTAGTGTACATACATATGTAAAGCGAACCGCTTAATGTGCTATGAAGTTGTCTTAGGGACTTTCTACTCCAGTTCTATTGTGATAAACTTTTTATATGTATATTTTTTAGATTAGTATAGTATGTACATACATATGTACGTCATCAAGTCCTTATTACTTACCGGCCAAAAATTTGACTAACACCCAAGTTTCCAGTGGCGTCACCGAATGATGATACACATGCAACCACGTTATTTGTGACGATTTTTTCCGCAGCACAAAGAATATTGTGTCAGCAAATTCGGTCAGTTTCGAGAGGTAGTAAATGTAGCACAGATTTAACATCTGAAAAATTATGAAATATGGAAATTAAAAATTTTGTATAATTCTGGTTATTAAATTCAATTTATAAGCATATAAAATTTCAAATTTTAAACAGAAAATATATCCGTTACTTAGCATTGCATTTTTAATCAACCAGGTAGGGGCAGGGGGGTGCTCGAGCCCCCCCCTAACTTTAAAATTTTCGTTATATATATATAAAAGAGTACCCTGAAATACCAGCTTAATAGGGTCGAGCCCCTCCCCTAAATTTCATTCTGCCTACGCCGATGAATATATAGGTTACAGGTTTAAATGCAGCGGTTGAAATTTAATTTGAAAAAAAAAAGTTTAAAGTAATCTCCCCGCAAAAAGTTGTGCGAATAATCTCTTAAAAAAGTATTCCGCGAATTTATTGGAGAACGTTACTTACTTTTGTGTTCTCATGTAGGTTTTAAAATTTATCAACTCTTTAAATACATTTTTTCATAACAAAATTTGTGTTTAAAGGGCAGATAAATTTTAAAACCTACTTGAGAAAATGGCCCTTAGTCAACGAAACTTCAAATGCGGCGTTGGCCTGTAAGAAAACTATTTTTTTTTTAGAAACCTGAGAAATTCGTTTTGAATGACAGCTGGCTCTAATTTTTACCACTCCAATATAAAGGGGAATAATTAGTATCTGCATAGGACAAGCTCGAACAAAATCGAACAGTTACTTCCATAATAAAAGTGGTATTCTTTGAGATTGCTCCTGGAGTCATCACGGATTAGACGCATTTTTACATCGTTTCTTCTATTAAAACATTGTTTTTTTTTGTGGTACATTCCATTATTTTAGTTTCAATCTTTCTTCTCTGCGCTTGCTATGAATTTCATATGAACATACAAATATTTCATTCAAAGTCATTTTATTGGTACACGACCTTCCACAACAGGCACGCGTCATGATTAAGTATTCACCATAAAAGAGATTCGCATCTTCTTCGTCAAAAAAAGAGGTAAGAAAAAACTCAAAGGTATTCAAATTTTTTTTTAGCGATACATTAGTCAACAATTTTATTTTTAATGCTTATGCTTTGTATAAATATTTGATACATACATATGTACATATTTATATACTATTATATTTAATAAAAACTATAAAATTTACATAAAAATATAAAAAAAATACTAGGATGTTGCTCAGCAATAGTCGAAAAGTTGCATAAATAATTTTGGCGATTGTTTGATTTATTTTGTTTGTTGCTTCATATTACTAAAATTTTTTTTGTTTATTTACTACGGTAAACACAGCGTTTATAGGTATGTATTTTTGTAGCGAGTGCCAATGGTGCCTCTGGTAGGCCACTAAGGAAATTGGCTGTTGGTGAAAATAAACAAAATATAGCGAATATTGAGCTACACCGAGTGAACTCGTATAAAGAAGAACTGCTAATGGGCTTGAAATTGTGGGAACAAATCGACTGCAAGTAAACACCAAGCAGGAAATGCTTAACATCAAGCTATATTGTACAGATAAAGCTGCCTCTAAGCTAATCAATTTCGGTTAAAATGTTTCGCAAGAATTCTAAATTTTCAACATCCGTTAACAAAAACAAAGTTGCTGGAAAGTCTGATTTTGGAGCACTTTTTTATTTAAAGAGCACATAAAGAGAACCGATTGAAAGCCAGCTTTTAGACTGTTGACAAGAAATCCCGCGTTGTAGTATTTAACTATCGTTCCTAGACTAAATTTACCACATTTCGGTTTTATTGAGATCTGAAAACAGTTCACGTACTCTATAGCAGTTTTTAAGGTATGTCTGATATACAACTAGGCATGGTATTTAACAAAATTTAAAAAAAAAAATTATTTCGGTGTTAACATCAATACGAAATATGTAAGAAAAGTGCTGACTTCGTATATGTCGAAGGCTTCAATCAAGGGATGGCAATGTCCCGGTGTTTTTTAGGTCCCGAAAATCCCAGGATTTCAAGAATTTCGTAATGGAAGAGATAGGGATCATTACCTTCAAATGGCTTACGACTACCGTTTGACTCTTCCATCTACAAGTGTTGAGGCCCAAATATGTATGTTCCCAGTGGGAATTAGGAGCACGTAATAATACCTTATTAGCAACTTACTCTTCACCTGGCAGTCATTACCATTTACCTGCCGAACGTCCCTTACTTTTACAAAGGCATGGCCGCCTTATGTAAGTAGGAATTTAGAATGTACATTTGGTATCAGACATACTTCTGAGCCGCTATACAAAGTAAGTTACGTGTAATGCAGAGCAGTCGCTCGGAGTAGTTCGGTGCTTGGAAATAACTTCGGCTGCACGTTATTTTGCAACTGACAACGTAATGTGTCTTCGGAGGTGTTCATTTTGCCCTTTACTAGTAGATGACATTAGCCATGATGACAATTTTGGTACTAAAAACTGAAAGAAAACATGGCTTACCTCGGAAGGTGCTTACCTATTTTCCCAGTGGGAATTTCATCAGCAGGTTTTGTGTGTAACAACTTCAGGTTCGAATTAGAAGACTACGCTTTGAATGCTTTACTGCTCTAACGTACATATTTTAAGTGCAATAATAACAACACCGGCACAAAAAAAAAAAACAAAATATTTATATAAATGTCACAAAAACTCATATCTAAACGATCAGTTGTGTTAGAGATATACGTTATACATATGTAACCGATCTTGATAATTTTTCAGTAATCTTTGACGATTTGTAANATCAGTTGTGTAAGAGATATACGTTATATGTAACCGATCTTGATAATTTTTCAGTAATCTTTGACGATTTGTAAGTAAACAGATCACAAAAAATTCAGTGTTTTAGCTATCTAAATTAAGGACCCCTTAACTGAATAAAGAGCTTTGTGTGAGCTATAAGTAATAGTGGGCCGATTGTCATGATTTCATCAGCATATCTTGGGCGATTTATTAGTAAAAAGCTTACAAATATCACAAAAGCTCATATCTGAACAATCTGTTGTACATATCTTATAGAACACCGACCTTACAGATTTCCTCAGTAGACTTTTCTTGACTGATAAGTAAATTTATCACTAAAGGTTATGGTTTTATTATTCAAAATAAAAGAGTCTTAAATATATGGGATTTATGTGATACATGCGAGCCATATTATATAGTGGTGCGATTTTACCGGTTCCGACAAATGATTCTTACATTATAAAAAGACACTTCTTTCTATATTAGAAGTTAGACCTCTAGCAATTCATGGATGAAAACTGTATTGAATATATATATATATATGCGCATACACACATACAGGCAGACTGCTGTTTTAACTTCATTTTCGAATTCAGCAGAACTAAAAGGACTTTAGAAATGATGGTAAAGGTTGGAAACATTTTCTATTTCTGTAAACTTTTGTTATTGGGCCCTACAGAGGGCGATCGATGCTTCTAAATGTAAGGAACTTTCCCAAGAATGAAGGTCAAATAATTTTTTTTAAGCTTTCTTTATATTTCACATGGTCCACTATGAATTTAAAAAAAGCGCTGATTTTTTTTGCACTTTGGAGGACAGAAGCAACAACAGAATACACGTAAAGGGTGTTTTAGATGCCTTAAATAAGCACAAATTTTTTTTTTTTACCATTCTATCGTTTAGAAACTGCAATAAAGTACAACTAAATGTTATTTTTGCTGTAGTGCTAAGTACTACCTGTTCAATATGTCTTGTAATATAAACATTTCAATCTCCAGATTATGAAATTATGAACAGCTTTGTGTTGCAGATTGAGTTAATCAGTGTTATCATGTCACATATTTTATAGTAAAAAATAAATAGTAATTATTTTTTATTATTACTTAATTTTCTCGGTACATTGTCAATGTTACATTTAACAACTCTGTAATTGGAGGTGTGGAAATACCAACACCGGAAATTCCATTTTAGTTTAGTTGTTCTTTCATTTTAAAGCGTGAATTTTCGCAACTGCTAGTAAGTAGAGCTTAGTGTCCTCGAGCAGGTAGAACAAAAGTGTGTGTGTATACACATACTGGCATACATATAAACGAAGTCATGCACATGTACATACATACATATGTACTTACACATATATATTTATATTTGCTTGCTACAGTGTAAATATAAATTTATGACTGGTTTTTTTAACGCGCAACAAAGTGCGTAAGTTAAGATTTTTGCGTATTTGTTTTTCCCAACATTGGTTTTATTTATTTTAGTTGCGCTTGGGTAATCAGGACTAACATGCTTCAGGCGTGTCTATAAATACAAAATCAATTTCAAATTGTTAAATTAATAGAACCTTTAGAGATTTATTGCTTTTGTATAAGGTTTTAAGCTTCACTTTAGTTCGATTTTCTACCTTCACTTATCTATAAGATACACTTAAACAGTCCACATATAAGTAAGTCACAGAATTATGAGCTTTATTCACCCGTCTAACCGTTTTATACGCTGCTTTCAGCGTTTATACTGTTGTGATTTTCCTACTAAAATTGGTAGGATTATTACCTCTTTATAGGTTGGAGGTTTAACTCTGCTTTGATAACCCTATTGAAAGTTGCTGAGAAGATAACCCTACGTATCTGAGGCTTACCATGTTTTGCTGGCCTTAATTTTATGGTAATAAAAATTTTATTAAACTTTTTACCAAAGATATGGAGTCTTTAAATATTTATTTATAGCCTTATTCATAAAAAGTAAAGTAAATTTAAAAAGCTCTATAAATTTACGTTTTCATACATTTTTCAATTTATAAACCTTTTTAAAGCTCCGAAATTATTCTGTATATGGCTGTTGTTATTTAAACGTATTTTCTTTAGAAATATTCTTCATTTTAATCGGAAATTCCACCGATTTCAATCTTCATTTCGCGAAAAGTTTAAAACGCATACGTCTCACAGACGTAGGTTATCATAGCAGGGTTGAGGAGAATTTTGGTAGGATCTGGGTACACCTCTGCAGAATAGTGTTGCCAGATATAATTGTTACCAACGAATAAATGCAAATGTATTGATTTTATAAGCCTCGTAC